CTCAGTTCTAAGTTGCTTCTCTCCTTGATTAGTTTCCACCCATTGCTGTTTATGCAGCCTAGAAGTGTGTTGGCAGCTGCTGCACACTGCTGGCTCATATTTAAATGGTTGTCTACTAGGATTCCAAGATCCCTCTCACAGTTATTACTATTGAGCAAGGTACCACCTATACTGTACCTATGCATTTTGTTTTTCTTGCTAAATGTAGAACCTTTTTTCACCATTGAATTTCATTTTTTAGGTAGTGCCCAATGTTCACGTTTGTCAAGATCCTTCTGTATCTTAAGCCTGTCTTCTGGAGTGTTGGCTATTCATGCCAGCTTGTTGTCATCTGCAAATTTGATGAGTTCCCCATTTGTCCGCTAATCCAAATCATTGATTTTATTTGCTCAATATTAAATGTTATATGTCTACAATTTGAAAGTGCTCCCAACATATTTTTTTAAAAAACATGACCATTATTTAAAAAAAAAAACTTGGGAGCCCCATGGGCTGAAGAAACCTCAGAGGTTCCTTAAGAAAGAAGTTATGTCAAATTTATAGGTACCGCCCAGTTTGCAGCCTGATCATTTGCAAGAAAGTATTAAAAAGAACAAGGGAGTCTAGTATCTTGTAGCCCCAACCCCAGTAATAGCAATTTATTGAACTGAAGAAAACTGGTACCTTGGAGAAAGTGAACACATTGTCCCTTGAATTTGTGCTATCCAGAGTTGTTTTGGGGAAGAGTCAAGCTTGTATCCTGCATTGCAGAAAAGCAGATTTTGATGAACTCCAATTTTGAATGGAATGTGAAACAAGATTCTGTATTGAACACAACCACAATCTCCACAAGGAAAAGAACTTTAAGAGACCAGCATGATCTCACAAATACTGAAAAGGATATTTACAGGTAGCAGGAGGAAGAAAACAACTTGAATACAAGGTAGTACCCAAAAGCTGCAGGAACCTTTCAGAAAAGCTAAAGTTCAAAAAGTACTGAAGCTTACAAGAGATGATGTTGGTAATGGGAAACAGAAAGCAGAACTTAGTAATTTCTATTGGGCTTCTGCCCTCTTATAAGGTTAAAAAAAGATAAAACTTAGCTGGTCATCATTATGCCACTGGGGAGAAAAAGATAAGAACCTTTAGCTAATTTACATGAATGTGACTCTCCTGAGTCAATTGAATTATGTCCCAGAATACTCAAGGAACAAGCAGAAATTATTATAGAATCACACTCAGTCTCTTTAAGGAATACTAGAGCAATTGTAACCTTCATTTCTAAGGAATATGATAACTACAGACCTTGATGTCTAACTGGGCAAGGATCTAAAATAGATCATCAAGCAGCATATCAGTGAGCATTCGGACAGGCATGCTACATTTAAAAGGATGGGTTTCTCACAAATCATGACAAATGTTTTTTTTCTTTGATAAACTAGCTTAGAATTACATAATTCTTAAAATTGTAACCATGGATAAATGTTACATGGACTTATAATTGACTGAATGACCACACCCAAACAGTGCTCATTAGTTATTCTACTTTAGTTTGAGGACAATATAAAGTGAACCTCTTCAGAGCTCTTCAATATTTTTATCAATGACTTGGTTGAGGAAGTTGATGAGAGACTTTTTAACAAATCTGCAGAGGATAGAGCGCTGAGATGCATCTACTGTAGAGTAAAAAAAATAGGATTCAGCAATGAACTGGTAAGAGTTGAATAGATTTTTAATGAATAAATTAAAACCCTGCATTTGGAAGAAAAAAATGTAAAACACAAATGTAGTCTTAACTAGTAGTACATATGTAAAGAATCTGGGCATTCTTATCAACTACAATTAAACAAAAGTTTGCGATGTGATATAACTGCTAGAACAGCACATGCTATCTTGTACATTAATAGGAATCCAGAATCCAGGTGATGGGAAGTATTTATTCCATTTTCCTCTGTCCTAGTAAGACACTTTGTGGCGAATTCTAGAGAGCAAAGTTGAAAGGACAGTGAAAAATTCAGAAGAAGCTACTAAGATGGTGAAGAACCTGGGAACTAACCTCTTTACTAACCAGGCTCTAAGAGAAATGATTAAAGGATTAAGGATCCTGTTCAGGGGTGAAATCCTCCCGGTTCGGCTGAACTGGTGGCAAAAATCCCTGGTGGCCCAACCCACGGCTGCCTCCTTGCCTGGTTGCCATGTCGCCGCTCACCTCTTCCGGCTGCTCAACCCGCCCAACCAATCCAAACATTTCTCCCTCCATTCGCAGCAGAGCTGCTGCAGCCTGTCCCTTTAAGATAGTCTCCGGGAGGGAGGGGGCCTGGGGGAGACCATAAAGGGAGCAGCAACTCCACGGAGGGGAAAATATTTGGATTCTCTGCCACATAATTCAGCATTAAATGCAGCAGAGAGAATCTGAATGTTTCTCCCTCTATTCACAGCAGAGATCCCCCCAGTCCCCTTCCTCCTGGGGACTATCTTAAAGGGACAGACTGCAGCAGCTCTGCTGGGAATGGAGGGAGAAACGTTTGGATTCTCTCTGCCGCAGCATTCACTATGAGCCCTTCTCGTGCTCATACACACATTTTTTTTCCAACCAGGTTCTGTGGACGTGGCTTGGTGGTGGTGGGTCATGTGACTGAGTTGGGTGTTGCCATGAGTGACATTGAGTTGGCCACACCCACTCAGTCATGGGACCCCTCCTCACCAAGCCACGCCCACAGAACCGTTAGGGAAAAAATTGAATGTCACCCCTGATTCTGATTAAAGGATCTATAAGAAAAAACTAGGGGTAGATATGGTAATCTTTCAATATGTAAAGAATTGTTGTACAAGAGCAGACTTAATCTATATTGTCACAGAAGACACAGCCAGAACCAATGGATTAAAGCTAAAAAGAGACATTTAAACTTCAGGAGGAACGTCTTGACTGTATGAAATGTTGATCAGTGGAATGAGCTGCCACATAAAATGTTAAGTTCTCCTTTAGGCATATTCAGATATGGTTATATGGTTCTCAGAGATGTTCCAAAAAATTTTTCACTGAGCAGTGAGGTCTAGTGATTAAGGCACTAGACTAGAAGCTAAAAGACAGTAAATTCTAGTTCTCCCTTAGGCATGAAAGCCAGCTGCATGGCTTTTGGTAAGTAACTCACACTCAGCCCAACTCACTTCATAGGGTTATTGTTGTGAAGAAAACATGAGGAAGAAGGAGTACTGTGTGTGTTTATTGCCTTGAGTTATTTATACAAAATAAAGGCAGGATATAAATATAAATTAAATAAATAAAGTTGATTTCCTTCAAGATCCCTTCCAGTGCTATGCTTTTACATATCCATGTAGAAAACCACTGATCATCATGGTTTCAAATGTCAATTATCAAATTTGGGAACAATGAATCATGTTGATAATATATAGTCAAATTGCCAGAATAACATCCATTCTGAATAGAAAAATTCAGGAAGTACAAAGTATCAGACATCAGTTAGACAAAACAGAATGCATGTTTTTCCTTTTGTGTTGCTTAAATGGAACTTTTAATTATGTGCACATGAATGCTATTTTCTGTCATTCTGAATACTAATTACCTAATGATTATAAATTACAGGAAGTGTGTATGACAGAGCTATGCAACACTTCACCATGGCATCTATCAATGACTCAAAACAATCACTTCTATTCCCAGGGTTCTATGATTGCTTTAAGGTGTTGCAGGCATAAGCTATATTCATGATTACGCATGCTCTGAAGCATCATTTCCAACTTATTTCAGAAATACCTTACAGACATTATGGAAAGGCACTTAAGTTCCCCATTCATACTTTAAATATACCTCTAAGCCTGAACTTATTATTCAAAAGAATATAGTGGTTTTACATTGTGCCAAAATTAGACAAATTCTGCCAGCTCAATTTATTCCTCATTAAAAACAATACCCCTGTTCCCAACAAATTTAATTGGTCAATGAAGATGACATGAATATGCTACACAAATATCAAGAAAGGTCAATTGACCCTGCCAACAAATCCAAAGGTATTAATCTAATTCTACAAAAGATTGAAGTCAATTCTAGTCAAAAGCAGTTAGTCAACTATATCATGAGAATTTCCAAATTCTCATGAATTGTCCCATTTTGCCTTGTTTTTAGAGGAAAAATCCAAAAAATGGGGAATCATAGAAAAAGCAAGCCACTCCATATTAAATAATAGGAAAGATGACCTGATTATTTTTTTCTGTAAAATGTAGACTGTTATTCATCAATTTCAGAAGAATGAATAAATTATATTACTGCTAATATTAAAATAATGGAAATTTTATTTGAATGAAAAACTTGAGTTTACAATCCGTTATTAAGTGAAGAGTGAACAATTTGCATTTTTCTATTCTATGACACATATGAAAAACCTCTCAGTAAATAAATATTTCTGTGAACATATTTAAGATAAGGCATTTTTTTAAAGATAAAGCCCATATCAGTTGTTCCTGACCCTTCAACATGGCTCACATCAAAACGTGAAAAAAAAATTTCACTGGATAATTCTGAAAAAAGTAGGCTGTTGGATCACAACCCAAATGTCCCAGTGGCAAGAATGTTGTGCTCTTCATTAGAGAACAATTTAATTAACCCATTACCCCTATTCAGAACAAACTATTTACATTTCGCTGAATAGAGAATCTCTGAAAGCAGCACTGTTAGAATCAACAACGTGCACCTAGACTATAAAAATGGCTTTGAGAATATTTTTGTCCACCATTTGTAAAGTGCCACTATCAATTTTAAGTCTTCATTTTGCTCACTGTGTACCAAAATACTGAAGAAACCATAGCTTCCAAATCCTGCTGTTTTTGACAAGAGTTTGAGGCTAGTAACAGTCCACCATACAACCAATACCACAAAAGCTACTTACTGGGAAACAAATGCAGGTATGCAACTGAACCTCATGATGTTACATATGTACTCCTACAAACCATAATCAGATCCCACTTTGGTCTTTGTGAAGTCCATACTGCAATATCCTGAAACATTTTATGTTCATTACACAATGGAGAGAAGCTGGAATTGCAGTGCAGTATGAGCTCATTACAGCATCTTCAATTTTTTTTTAATAATAGCATGCTTTTGTTTAACCCACAGTTTGGATCAGAGTGGCAAGTTCTGTCCTTCAGGATCTGTGTCACTGTTGCTGGGTTGAGGATGAATTGGTAGAATATCTAGCTCATCCACCTGGGGAGTGGGGTGCATCACCACTAGCTGGTCCTGGGGAATGTCTGCTGCAGCTGCTGCTAGGTTGGTAATCGATTTACTTTTCACACACTGGAAGTCAACATGGCGACTTTTCCCTTCTTCCTTCTCCCATGACATCCTTATGAAAGGTCTTTGGACATAATTATAGATTACTTCTGGTCTCCCACCAGGTCGCTTCTTAACTTTTTCTTTGTATGTGGGATAACCTAAAAAAAATTACCAATAACATTTATAAATTTTATTTCACTCAACATTTGAGGACTCTGAGGTAGAATACAGCATTTTATTCAACAAAATATGCTATTTATTCGGCATATTTAAGGCATATCATTTTGTAAATCCATCATCTAGCTTTTCACTGCAGTTTAATTGGCACTCTACTTTTAACACTTTTTGTAATTAAGATTCACTTCATGATAAATTATTCATTCTAAGTTGAAATTTCAAGCTATGTTTCCGTATAAGAATAAAGCTTAAACTTAAGCAGAAAAACTGTTTACCTGAATTAAGACATGGTACTGAAGAAAGGACAACACAGTGACTGCTTATCTCTTTTTTTGAAGTCACCAAATTGCAGTATTATGTGGTCCTCGTTTAAGAATCACTTGTTCAGTGACTGTTAGATCTTATGACAGCATTGAATTAGGGTACTTACACCTTCTCCCCAAGGTTCTGGCTGTTGCAGCATCCCTACATTTGTGTGACTGCTATTTGCAACCTTCATGGCCAGCTTCTGATAAGCAAAACAGGGAAGCCAGAAGGTGGCCGCAACTGTTGTAGTTAACAACAACTACCTGTACTCCCACTTATTTCACTGTGGTTTTAGATCATAAGTGTCTACATCCTAGTTTTTCACTGCATGTTAGATTAGACAGTAAGATTAAATTATCTTACCTTCTATACCTAATCGAATCTTCTTAAGACCCCTTTCCTTCAGTACTGATTTGGCCACATCTCTGTTCTCAATATACTTGAAGAACCTATATAACTTTGTGCTATAAATAACTGTGGGGAAAAATACATTTCATGAAATCAATAAACTGTATATACATTCAGTCAGTATAAAAAAACCCAAACTAATGCATTTGGAAACAACTTAAAAATATGCATAGTATTATTTATATCATCTAAGAATCCATGTATTACTAGATTGAAGAGTGATCCGACATGGTAATATGCCCCTGCACAGACTACATTATGACCTTGTACACACACATGGAACAAGGTGATCGTAAGCCAGATATAGCTATAGTTCTCCAAATGACAGATTTGACAGGACACATTACACAATCAATGTGCTGAATTGCCATAAAAATTATGTCTACTAAATGATGCAGGTCTGCACAATGCAGAGTGATCAGACGTATTGTAGTGCATATATTTAAACAATTTATATACAATTAATTATATAGAAAAGGGAATGAGCCAAATTCAACCGGAATGCCAATTGACTTACTTTGAGAATATTCTTCTCCCATTTGAGGTGGATATTCTTCATCCCAATCAACAACATCATCATCAGTGAGCACTACAATATGACACTCTCTTTCCCCACTCTGAGCACTGGCTACCATCAGTGGCAGTATCATTTCTTCAAGGTAAAATTCAAACTGTTTCCGAGCACCATCATTTGATAATTCATGCATGAGAGCACCTGAAATGAAAGCAATCAAATTCATTACTCTCTGCACATAAGAATACTTAGCTGAATGTTAGATGATCCATTATTAATTGCTTCAATAAAAATATTACTTTTGGCACAACAGAGGTGCAACTTCTCATAGTTCTCGTAATTGCTAAATGATGCTCAAAGATTTTCAATATGTTACCTTGCACTTCCTAGTTTCTGGGCTTAGAATAGTAATTGCTGATGTTTACAAGGTATCTCTGACTTGCATATAAAGCTAAATAAGCTGGATCAAAATAGTGTAACTTGAGAATTAATCAACACATCAAAATCATTAAAGTTTTGCAGGCCCCTAAAAATTATTCCTTTCAAATATTCAAGAGTGTTATTTGAGCATGTAACATCCTTTAAATATTTTTCATTCTTCTAGTAGAAGGAAGTCTCATGTTTCCTATATTACTCAAAGAACTCAAATGGGTTGTATTTGCCAACCTTAATATAGCAAACAAAAGGGGCTAGTAATTTACCTGCTACATTGAGCAAAAATACTGGCATCAACGTTTTATGGGGAACCTTCAGGCCATATTTCAATTTGGATTTTTACAGAAAGTCTAATCTAAAGGTTTAAACTCAGTAATCCAGGCCCTCTACTGTCTCACTAAATGTACACCACCTTTAGAGGATGCTGTGAATAGAGGCTAAAATATTAATATTAAACTATTAGCTAAAATATATTTTTGTCTTCTGGTTTCAGTCCCTTTTAAGTATGGAGGTTGAATTCCAGTCTGTTTGGAAGTAATTCCCTGTTAGATAAATAAAGTTGCCTAGAATTCTCTCATTCCTTATTTACTATTCTTGAGATTTGATCAAGCCAGGTCGGTGCTGAACCAGCAAATATTGAAAGCTAATGTGATGTATTAGTTAAAGTGCTGCTAGAAATCAGGAGACCAACCCACACTTAGGTATGAAAATTAGCTGGGAGACTTTGGATCAGTCTCTCTCTCATACCGCAACACATCTCATGGAGTTGTTGTTGTTGTGGGAAAAACAAGGAAGTAATTAGTATGATAGCCATCTTGATCTGATAATACAGACACACATAATAATAACTCTCAATCCAATTACACATTACTCATATAATAATATTAATAGTTATAAAGTCTGATCTTAGTAGTGCTCCAATTCTCCCTAATATTGACAGCACAGACATACAGTAGCACCTGCAGCATAGCTTATTCAATTAAAAGCATCCAAAATGTAGAAGGGACACTACTTTGACTGTTTGGAAAGAAAAATACTATACTTGGAACATTTAGGTCTCTGAAAGCTTAGGGAAGCTGAATCTACTGAGCAGATTCTCCTTCAATATATACATATACATTAGAAATACTCCAACCTCTTCATAATTGAAAAGTTTACAGGTAACAGTTCAAGCTATGCCTGCTTATTAGGCTAGAATCCATTTATAACAGGTTAGTCATTTTAATATTATTTATGATTCCTGCATGTAGTTTTTAGAGTTACGATGTTCATAGTTTTTGGCTATTAATGCAAAGTTTTATCTCTATGTTCCACAGCTTAGATAGATTACGTTCAGTAACACATCTTGTGGTTCTGTAATCTATTCATATTTTAAAATATATTTATATTGCATCTTCTTTCTATATAATTGTAAAACTATTTAATGTTAGACATTTGTAATAGTAATGCTAATACTTTAAATATTTCTTCCATTCTACAGTCCATATATATATATATGGAGTTGTTGGTTATAAGTTGCATTGTTATGTGCTATATGCTGCTGCTTATGAGCGAAATAAAATTTTATATATAAAACCTCTATGCACTTAATGGGTACTACAGTATATATTACTAAACCCAATCATCAACCCAATCTATAATCTATTTTAGGATGTTAAAATTGATAGATGCTGAAATATTACTTGAAGTAGTTTATGGGTAGAAAACAGCATCTTAAAAATGTACATATGGGTATATGAGGTTAACAGCAATATTATACTTACTGAGGTCTCTACATTTGATAGTACTATAATCAAAAGAAATACATAGATAGTCACACGCTTCTCGTAGTTCAGGAATAGATATTCCATCTGGACAACGTATCATCCCAGTCTTGTAATAATCCTTAAATTAAAAAAGAAAAAAGCAGACTTGTGAGAAAACATTTAATTTGTACAGAATAACTTTTCATTTTTCTAATATGTTTTGCTGCTACTGCAAACAAATTGGGTGTCCAGTGGTAACGGAATGAAGCAATCTCCTTCCTGTCATATGGAGACTGAGAAGAGACCCCAAAGAACTAGAACAACAATTAAATTCTGAGAGCAATTCAAATTGCTTGGCTAACAACATTTTGTTTAATGAATCTTAGGAAATATCTCCCCTCAGAAATGTTATCATACAAAGATGTTAATGTCTTCATTCTGTTTCTCAACTTCAGTCGTCTACTTCCTTGCTTACAAATAGCATAGTTGAGGAGTTGAGGAACTCTGGTGTTTTCGTGGGCAAAGTCTTTTTAATTAATATATTAGTAATCATAAGCACATTTTATGAAAAATAGCTTGCTCACTATTGCTGCCTTTTCCCAACAATGCACTGCCATATTCCAGAAGATGGTACATAGATGGTAAATCCAAAAGGAATGGCCAGTATCTTAACTAAGCTGAGAATCCTTTAACATTCAGATATATTAATGAGATGTCTAAACAGAGTACCATATTTGTCGGAGTATAAGACACACCTTTTTTCCCCCTAAAAGAGGGTGAAAATTTGGGTGCGTCTTATACACTGAATGTAGTCCCACCCACCAGCCCCAACCTTTTGGCCTCTGCCTCCCAGCAATTTACCTCTTTGCAGCAAATGGGGGCTTGTGGAGCCTCTAGCAATCTCTGCAGCCTGAAACAGCTGATGATCGGGAGAAACTGAAAGTGAAACTTGCTGTTTGCTGCAGGAGGCAAATTGCTGGGAGGCAGAGGTAGATATTTTTTCTTGTGCTAATCAGGCTGTTTGCTGCAAGGAGGTAATTCAATAACTATAAATGCCTATAGAATGTTCAAATTATTAGACTTATTTTTTAAAGACTGCTCTATTATTGTTCTAGACAGCTTAACAAAATGAAGTTTTTTTTAAAATAAATGCTCGATCTGAAAAGGCCCAGTGCTATTGTATCTTCTTTTAAATAGCAGAAAATAACTATACTTCCAGAAAGCACATCAATTTTAACAGCATCTGTACAAGTATAGTCTGAAATGTAACACTACAGTGTATATTGTCTGCACTGTTTGCTGTTTGTTGCAAGGAGGCAAATTGCTGGGAGGCAGAGGCAGATATTTTTCCCTTGTTTTCCTCCTTAAAAGCTAGGTGTGTCTTATACTTTGGAGCATTTTATACTCCAAAAAAGACAGTAAGTCACAGACCTATATCTAAATTCTTTATTCCTGAATTTTCCAAGTTTTTGTAAAATAGCAATATGAACTAATAGTACTGAGAATATTGTTTAAATAAATTATAGAAGTTCATGATAAGCTTTTATAGGAATGATGTTCCATTTTTAAAAATTTCATAAATGTGAAAGGGTGGGAAACATAATATCTTATGAAATCTCACCAAGATAGCACGAAACACGGTGGAACCAATTCCTTCAGCCACTTCATATTCTCCTTTTTCATTGGGCCGTGTGAAGTTATGTTCCCGTCCGGAACCGAACATCCTATATATAGAAGAGGGGAAAAAACATGTTATTCAAAATCCACACAGCACACATAGTTCACTAGTATTTGAATTCAATTTGGTAAAACTTTAGAAGCAATTATAGGAAATTCAGAATATGCACTGTTAAGGGACTTGCAGACTTTACAAGAGATTACATTATGTTCATATATCCAAAGGAAAACATTTTTTGGAAATGTTAATTTTAATCCATGCAAAATATGAATTAATTCAAAAACATTCTGAACTTCAAAGTTTAAAATAGAAGTGTTTTGCAATTTTTAATAATATATGTGTGGAAATGGATGAGTAAGAAAAACACTGATCTCCACATGAGTAGTATCTAGTAGTATTTAAGTAAACTGAAGCTGAAACAGTAAATTAAAAAAAAGTTCCCCACATTTAGACAGCCAACCAATCTGCTTTTTGGCAAATTTGCAATTAATGTTGAATTGACATATTTCAAAATAGTAAGTTAGCATATACTGAACATGTATTACGTTAAGCTTCATATCTTGTTCAGCACCAGTCTTTCCCCAAACTTTGGCCTTAGCCACAAGAGCCTCTCTGAAGTTGCCCAACTGTTATGTTTAACCTGAGAGAATATAATTAAATAGGTAACAATAATAGCAGTATTACATTTTACTTAAGTTTAAATATAAATTAAATCAGCTGTTTTGTTTAATTACTTTTTGCTTTCCCCTTGTCTGCCCCTATTACTTTTTCAATCAGGCCCATCACATATCATTAAAAGGCCAACTATGGCTCTTGGTATTTAAAAAAAGGTTCTTACTATAGATAAATGGCATTGTATGCATCCTCATTATCACATACTCTACTCCAGAATGAATTTGACACTTTACATTAGGTAAGTTCAAAATAACAAGAGTGTTATTTTAAAAGTAATTATTCAGTCATGAAATGTCTTATTTCCAGGAAGGATAAACTGGTTTAAAAAGAAACCACACAACAGCTAAATTATACTTCATGAAAAATACAGTAATACAAATTAAAGACGACTAAACTACACCTGAAATGTTACACTCAAGTATTTGACAGAAATAGCAATAGCACCTAGATTTACGTATCATTTCCCAGTGCTTTATAGCCTTCTCTAAGTGGTTTACAGACTCAGCATTTTGCCCCCCAACAATCTGGATCCTCATTTTACTGACCTCGGAAGGATGGAACACTAAGTCAACCTTGAGCCAATGAGAACTGAACTTCTGGCAGTCGGCAGAATTAGTCTGCAATGCTGCATTCTAACTACTGCGCTACTAGGGCTCTTTGACAGAAGCAGCAAATAATGAGATCAAAAATATTTCGCAATAAGAAGACATTTGTGTTTTGCCATGATTTACAGGGATATCTGATGGTATATATGCAATAAAAAGCCACACCAACCTGCCCAGCATTGTATTTGGCTGTGCAGTAAAAACTGAAGGATCTACAACAAATCGAGTATTGTCCACTATAAGTGTTACTCTCTCTGACATTCTTATGTTCCGTGCTCCTTCTTTTGCATTCTCATACACAAAAACCATTTCTCCAGCATTCTTGCAACTCCCATCCGAACTTGACAGGCTGTTGTTTCTACTGTTTACTAGACTGCTACTGGAACCATTCGGAGAAGCTTTCTGAGGACGAGGGCTGCTTGGTCGAGATGAGCTATGATCCTTCTCACGTTCTGCAATGAAAAGTAATACAAGTATTTAAAACTGAGTTGCGGTATCAGAACATATTATATCTCAAAAACATATTTACAAAGGCAACAGTTTTTCCACATTAAGCCAAACTTATTTTTGGATTTTGGTTTGGTGCCAGTAGTAACTCAGGGTACTATCTCATGATGTGTCAGAGAAAAGAGGCAGTCTCCTGGCACTAGCATTAAATATGTTTGCTACTTAAAAAGTAATAATTGTAGGGGAAAAAAACTAATTAAAAAATAATCCAACAACAGGATTATAAGACTTTAAATTATTTTAAAATCTGAGGTTTCATAGACCAGTTTTCCCTAATGTGGTGCTCTCCAGATAGTTTGGATTACATATTCCATCACAAAAGGTTGCCAGCATCCAAAACAAGTGGAAGGGGATAGATTGAAGAAAAATGCCACACAACCAGTTTACATGCTTCGGCCTCAATTCAGCATATCAAACTGAACATACAGATGTAACATTGTACCTAAACATTTATGTAATTGAGGCTTAAATAGTTTCCTTGGTAATTTTTAGTTTGACACAAACTATAAATATTAAATGGTGATCAGTATTTACCGCATTTTTCAGAGTATAAGACGCTCCAATGTTTTGAAGAGGCAAATTAAAAAGTTTTTGTTCTCTGCAGACCTCCCAAAAACAGCCCATTTTTCGCAAAAATGGGCCCGTTTTTTTTCCCCAAAAAGGCATGAATAGCCTTTAGGGAGCTTGCACAGTGCTCCTGGGTGGTGCCCCCCCCCAAAACGAGCAAAAAATGACCCATTTTTCATAAACTTTTTTGTCAAAAAATTGCATGCATAGCCTGGTGGAGGCTTATAGAGTACTCCTGGGGGCTGGGGGAGGGGCAAAATTGAGCAAAAAACGGCCCATGTTTTACTCATTTCTGCCTTCACCAACCCCCAGGAGCTCCCTGAAAGCCTTCTTCAGGTTCTGCATAGCCATTTTGGTGAAGGGAGCGTGGTTTGGGGAGGCAAAAAATACTGTATTGTGTATAAGACACACCCAGATTTTCAGCCTCTTTTTTGAGGGAAAAAGGTGTGTCTTATACTCTGAAAAATACAATATATTTCTTCCATCCTGGAGGCAGTTACTGCATTAAACGATTCCTTCTTCACTCTCTTGTATACTCTCCACTATCTTAGATATTTCCTTATTTGTAATGTATTTATTCTTTTACCATTTTAATCTTTTCTATTATTTTACCAAATCGTAAGCCACCCAGTGCTTTGTGACATGGGCAGTGAATAAATTTAATAAAAATTTCCAATGAGATTCTTCATCATGTTAATTTTGGAGCTTTCATATTTTAGGTTTGTGACACAAGAAACCAAGTGAAAAGATGTTATGTTTGATAAAGATATGTACTTTCTAATAAAAGCTAGAGAGTAAATATGTAAAACAGATACGGATTTCTCATGATATACCTCCTTGATGTTGTCTTGTTGGTGAAGTAACATTTCTGATGCATGGAGTGAGCTGGGATTCAAGACGTTCATGGGATGAATCACGTGATCTATCACTTGACCTTCTTCTGTCTCTTGATCTTTCATGCCCACCACTAGCCCCCTGAAGACTCATTTTGCGGCAATCACCCTTAACAAGACGAGATGAAGTACTAGAAGATAAATGAACATGAGATAGTATTTAGAATTTTTAAATAGCAGTCAATATAAAATAGATCTTATATTGTGAGTTTTTATTTTTTTCAATTTCAATAGTAATCTAATATTAACCTCTTTCCTGAAGAGTTTAGAAAGAGGCACATTGTTTGTGGGAAAGTCATATTTATATGACAAGATTTTCACCTTTTCATGACATCCTGACAACATGTACATAAGGAGTTGGGAAATGCCTTGGAAACAAAATGAGCCAAGCCAGAAATGCAATGTATGTCTGGATCGAATGCCTGAAGGCTATCAGAAACTCATGCTGCATCACATCTCAATGATTGCAACATCCTGGGTCATGGAGTTGCCTGATAAGATTCTTAAGTTTGTACAAAGTGTTAGACCATGTACAAACAGATGAAAACTCTTTCACAAAATAGTAACCCAAATTTAACCAGTATACTGGCTGCTAATAGGTTTCTGAGAATAAGTCAAATGCTGATTATTACCTATAAGATGGTATGTTCCAAGTAGAATCTGTCCTAACATTTGAATTGTGATTGCATGTTTTGTCTTTTCAACCCTTATTAAGTTAAGGGGTGAGGGATCAAAAAATTTGTCTTTCCTATGAAACCTGATACCATCCTTATATGAACAGCTCTCCCTATTTCTCCAGTCTTTCAAATATTAATTGTGGTCATATATTGTTATCATATATTATCAACTATGTTTATTAACTTTTAACTATTTTGTGATTTTTAAATAATGTTATAAATGAATAGGTAAGCCACAGTTAGTTTTTTGGCTAAATCGTGAAATGTAAATACATTTGACATTATGAAGCATGTCAAGTTTAATTCAAAGTTTGGAATTCATATTCTTCCCTTTTCCACAATCTCAAACTCCTCTATTTGGAAAAAAAATCAAAACCAGATGAATATTTCAGGCTACATCAAACTGAAATTTTTACTAGTTGCTTAATATCAAAGTAAAATGCTAATCAACTAGAACAATAAAATCATATTTGGCTTTCTATTAAACCAACTAAACACAATACAAAGGGTACCAGAAAATACACTACTACTTTGCCTTTGAAATTTAATAGCCTCTTCTATACACAATCACTGAAGGAAATGTACTTGGCTTCCAGTTCACATTATTTTCCTATAACCTCTAACTGCAATCTCACTTGAAGCAACATCAGCAACAAATCAGCAGCAAATTCAATCAATTGTTTTCCATATTTGAGGCTTTTGACTATTTCAAAAAACTTTACATTAAGGTGCTATAAATTTTTCAGAATTTATATAACTTCTTATATAAAGACTGCATTCCTCCCCCCCCCCCTGTATACAGTATAGTAGCAACAGGATTTTTTTTAATGGCCTTCTACAACTGAAGATCCACAGATATGCAGAAAGCCCACAACTGGAAGACCTGAGGATTAGCAAAACCAATGTAATCCAAACACTATGTTACAAAAATACTGAAATTGGTTACAATATATACAAAAGTCAATACAATTCAGGACAAAAAAAAGTCACTTCTGAAAAAGTGAATATATTCAAAGAGTAGATCCACTTAGAAAAAAAAATAGAAGTGCACGAGCAGCACAATTTTTATCCTATTGAGCACATCAATTATACTGAGTGCATTAGACTTTGGGATCAATATCACTACAGTCTCAATTGTCTATACATACAATAGAACCTAGGACACTGTCCTAAAAAGGAGGAAATGGCAAACCATTTCTGAAAAACCTTGCGAATGAAACTGCAGGGACTCATCCCAGCACTGTGAGAATCCAACATGACTCAACTGAAGGAAGCAACAAACTTCCCAGAACTACAGATTTTTCTGCAACTAAAAGGGGAAAGGAAGAGGAAAGTCACTGGTAACAAGGTGAATTCCAAATCGCTCTCGCTCTTCACCCTGCATTACTTTAAGTAGATGAAGGAAATGGGGATATTTGATTTTTTTAATGAATATTATCCAATGTTTTGCTTGGTATTACCAACATTACAGTTCTAAAGCCCACAAGTAAGGGGCCATTAAACACGATTTGGACTTGAAAACATACATATAATATTGAACAGCAAGGAAAATTATTACTTACCAATGGTATTTTTTAAATGCTATTTTTGACTATTACAAAATTATATAAATTACTATTCCTAATTTATGTAATATTGTCTTCTTTCTTTCCCAGATAGTTATTTTAATACTAGGAATGTTATAGTTTAATATAGTTACGTACTTCCATAACTGGTTACTTTAAATTTGTAGATAACCACATAATTTCACATTAGTTTCTCTTTTTGTATCCCCATTTCCTTCAAATAAAGACTGCATTCCTCCCCCCATGTATACATATTCCTTCAACATACAATAAAACACATCTAAGCATATATTTTCTAATGTATTAAAATGATTTTAAATTTTTACAATTTTAGTTGAAGTGTTTCTTTCAACAGAACTAAGCTAAAATATAACAATAACCAGAATATACCTATAATGTATATTTCTATGTGTTATAGTTTCAACATGGAAATTCAGCTGAAAGAAGATGGAAAAGTTATCATGTCCATTTAGAAAGAATAAATATAATTTTTATAGATACAAAGAACACACATATATTAGGAAGTTCTTATTTGTCACATATGTAAAATAAGTTTTTTTTCTTTTAAAATAGCAATAATTTTATCCAGTTAGTATATATTCCTGCTTCTGTATTTTAAAGTTATTTTCCTCCCAATGGCTTTACATATTCTGTATGGATAGATGTAATACACCTAAAATAAGCATGACAAAATCTTGGGAAAGTAGAATTTGTTTTTAATGAGGAAATCACAAATAAATCATATCATAGAAATTTTGTGTTATGAAAATACACTCCATATTCCACCCAAAAGAAATAGAAAATGGGAAAGCATACTAAAAAAACTCAAGCCGGTATTATATTTTATTATTTCTCATCCGTTTCCTAAATGCTTTTCTGAAGTCATTTTCCAAACCTATAAGCTGCTTAAGGAAAATGTTAGCTGGTAAAAAAGAAATAAATAAATCTCAAACTTTAAAACATACAATAAAAAAATAACTTTAAAACCCTGCATTTTAACCATGGGAAGTAGAATATTTTCACCAAGTAAGTAGACATTTTGCACCTATTTCTGGACATAAATGAAATTTATTTGTAGCTGTCCACTGATGTAAGAGCTGGTGAGCATTTTCCATTTTTATTTTTATTCCTCTATCCACTTAATTAGTTCTAGATACTCTAGCACAGGGAAATGTGATACAGAAAAAAGAAAAGGAAACAATTATAGGAGCAAAAATCTGCTTACCGCAGCATTAGATGAAACACACCGTTTTTGCTCATTCCAGAAAGATCAATTTCGCTCCACATCAATCTTATAAAACCCGCATAATGAAAAGCAATCCTCTTCAGAAATGTCCAAACACAAGGCAGGTTCATGCATATTAATACTTGACTATATCTACAGTAAACACATGCTACAGGAAGCATGCTGGATGACTCAAATAAAATGCTTCCTACTCAAGTGATAAAAACTCTAGCGAGATAGTAATCATGCTACAAAAATTTCCTCAAAAACAATAGTATAAAGGTTTATATCCAATGTTCTCATCAACCAACTGAATGGCAAGTATTAAGGAAATAAATTTTCTCATTTGCAGAATCTTCCTTCCAAATTTACTCAAGATTCTGGGCAACATATCCAGAAAAGATTTGGGGAAATTTACAGGGGAAAGGGAAATGTGTTCAATGTTACCAGTTTAACTTTTAAAATTCCAAAAACCAAAAGGTTTAAATAATAATGAAAATATACGTTCTCACTGTTTTAGTGAGAAGTAAACTACACCTTCAAAGTGAATCTATTTCACTTTTATATTGGAAATTAAATAACCCTGACCTTTTAAAAGTTATAGGGTGTAGGTAAATGAAAAATGCACTGGAAAATTTTACAAAATAACACTAAAACAGCAGCTTTATAATGTAAAGTTCAACCAGCTGCATTACTCAACTTTCCCATTAGGTTTTGATCTTATCTTGCATAATTCCTTTCTTTTGCCAAATTCCTATTAGTCAACTGCTACTACTGTGTTTATTTTTTTCTTCACTTTTTAAAAAAAGCATGTATGGTCTGAAAGTGATTTGTGTTTAAGGACATTTCATTCCAAGAAAAAATACTGCCAAATAATATTTTGGTTTATTTGAACATTTATATTCTAGTAATTGAGTTATGATTTCCCATTCTCCACAAATATTTTAATTCAATTACATTTTGTTTAATGAGACAAGTAAACTTTTGAGATATTTATAAAACATGTTAAATTATATGCCACATTTGCTTTTGTTTATTAAACAAACTATTTTGCTAGATTAGATTTCAGTTTCTCACTTCCTCCCTGTAAAAAACCCATGTTAACTATAAATCCAGGCAGAACACTTTATAAACCTCTACATAACACGCTAATATATAGGCATATGGAGCACTGACTTCTAAGTCCAACCTACATAGGTGGTGTCCTTGTTCAACTTCTATATATTGTTGTTATAATACAATGTTGCTACTATATAGCAGTCTCTTCACATTGTTTCAGGGTGACAGCTGATCCAATCTAACACGATTTGCTGATAAGAACTTAATAGTCAGCCAATCGCATACAGCAGAAACATCTTGATAAAACACACAGCCAACTTTAGAGCGCTCTGTGAGAGTACACAGTTCCCATATTGTGACACTGTCATTTATTCTAACTATTCAAATCAATAAATTAAGCATCACAAATAACAGCTGAAAAAATGTGTAACATCATTAACAGAAATTGAAAAGTAAACTGTAAAAAGATGTGGTTCATTTTCATACTTTTGTGTAAGGGTAAGGATGATATGACCTAACTTGCATCATACTATTATGAATCATCTTTTTACTTCCTTATTAATACAACCAAAATGGATTTGAAACTTTAAACATTACCTTTATAAATGGTTGCCTTAGAAGACCACAAATAGAAAAAAAATAATAGTTTAATGAAAGCTAAACAATAATCAAACTTTAAACACATCATTTCATGTATTTTCTATTTCTTCTAAATTAAGCTTTTGCTCAATAATATTTCTATTTATGTTGTAGCTGTTACTTTAGATTCATGGTCACAAACTTCTTTTTATCATATAAATATTTCAAGAGATCAATTACACAAAGAACTATTCCTCCCTTTTACATATTCCCCTCAGTTAAGTACTGAAAACTGTATTGGATTGTTAAGAGATACGCACCTGCTTTTGGAGTAGAAAAGGGCAGGAACACAAAAACATGGAGAAAATATTGAAAACAAAGTACAAAAGAAATCTGCTCCTCTCCAGCCTGCAGGTTTAGAAGCCAGTTCAGCATTCTCTGGCATTACTTGCTAAGTTCAGCATATTTGTTCTTTCCATTCTCCTCTCAATATTCTACAGCATTATTAGCCTCGCTTTCTAGCATCCTCTTTTCTTCTCCATCTCAAGGGTAACACTCTTATTACAGCTTTTCAGTCCATTAAGTGCTCAGAGAAGTAAGCCCCCAAGATATTATTTCAATTCATTTTCTCACAGCCACTGACTCAGCCGTGCACAGTGCAGCACTGACGTCTAACCTCACAGCCTCCAGTAAGCTGAATTGATGCTTACCATTTCCTTTTTTCTAAGCTGCCATTGGCTGGCATATTTGATGGATAGTGTACAGAACGCATAAGGAAAGAGCTGCTTGGTATCCTGCCAAGTGCCATCTGTGAAGCTATTTCTAGCCCTACCCGCTTGTCAGATTTTAATAAACTAATAAAGCATCTGAAATGTTTCTTCTGTCACCTATCTTTCATGCCTCATTTTTTAGGTTTTCATTGCAGCAGAAACACCAGAATTCATTCAGCATATAGTAATTTGTCTGGACAGGAATTCACAGCAAAAGGTTCTTAATAAAAGTCCTGTGCCGTTTGTTTAAAACACAGGAGAGAAAGACAATTGCTGTGAGAAATTTATGTCAAGAAATTGCATGTACAAAATAAGGAAGATATATTATTAATTATTCTAAACATAATATTTCAATTCCCAATATTTCAGTTACATTAATGCAAAAAAAATTAAGATTTTAATTTCAAAGAACAAGTCAAAAGAACAAATAAAAAAGTTTCTGGTCTAATCCTAGCAAGCAAAATTCAGTTTGTGAAAGTGTGATTTTCAGAATATGTGCAATATATATTTGCACAATGATAGCTGTCTATATGTTTGTATCCATATTATAACCTGCAAAGCTCTGAATTTGGAAGAGATACCGTGCAACACATAGGGATACATGTCTATGACTTATTGAAACAACCATGACTATTTCCCAATTAAACAGCAACTATCAAAGCCTTCAGATCAGCCCCACAACTACTGTCTTATATCTGTTCCATACTAATCTTTTTTTATACCTACAATTTGTCTGCTTTATTCAGGATGCAAACAGTTCTTCAAGGAATGCTAAACAAATGAGGGGACATAGTTCAACATGCAAAAGGAATAAGGCAAATATGGCTGGCAAATTAAAAAGCCACATCTGCTCACATGGATAGGGGTGGACAGGTTCTACTAGGTTAGGGGCTGCAAACCAGTTTTCTCCCCGGCCAGCAGGCCACAGGAACTAATCTACTTAATGTCATTGGAAGGCAGAGAGCTGGAAGATGTTAAAACAATGTCAGCTGAAGACTAGAGGTGGGAGTCCCAAGCCCCTAACAGTATTTAAATATTGAGTATTTAGCACTCACAATTGCTCAGAATATTTTGAATATATGGAGTTGTATTCCACTGTGCCTTCTAGAATACCTGCCATACAAGCAGTCCTCATTTAACAACCACAATTAGAGCCAGCAATTTGGTTGTTAAATTTAGTGATTGCAAAGTGAAGCATCATGAATTTATGATTCTATTTCAGCTTTCTTTTGCTTTTCAGACCAACAAAACTCATAAACATAAAGAGAAGTTACAAGGTTAGTTTTTCATTACCAACATAACTGCAAATGGTCTCTAAACAAGACAGTCAGATCAGATTTTCTTCAATAGGAGTTTCTTCAACCTCTACCTTTTCAAGATAAATGTGATCATGTCCTCTCCCAAAGAAAAGAGGACATGAGGACTACCTATATTTCTCTTCTGCACACCTCCATTTGCATAAAAGTTATTAGAATCTCTGGAGTGGGACATAAACAGAATTGTACATGGGAAGAACAATGGAAACCATTGTTACACAAGCAACTTACAGGTATAACACTGCATAAAGTTGGTAACCCTATCCAGAGCTAATACTGCAGCCATGAAGCCACGTTGTTTCTAGAAAAATAGAAATCCATTATGTTGAGATTAAATCTAAGATTGTTTATATCCATCACAACTCCATAAACTGGGTTAGACTGGCTGGAAATGTTCCACAATATTCCCAATCAAGCTTGGGGCATCAATGAAAAGCTGACTATCATCAGTGGATTCAAAATACCTTGGACCAAAGAAATACATGACTTCTCTCAGTAGCTTCATATATATGCGCTAGAGCTACTGCCACTCTGACCACTCTTTACTCACCAGTACCTGCTGAAACCATCCAAAAAGAGAGGAACTTTTGCAGAAAGGTATCTTCATCCCTTTGCCCCAAAGGTATTCTAGTAGGATACCATGATAGTAACAAAGGCTCCTAGGAGAATCTAAATTGAAAAGAATTTAGATAAACCACTTCATAAAGGTCCTTTATACCTGAATCACCAATACTTCCCGAAGAAGAAATAACAACACCAAGAAAGGGAAGTTGGCAATAAGGCAATAATTCTCCAACAAGGCTAAACCAGACTTTAATATAGGAGATTCTTCAAACCGCTACAGACAGGGTTATGTTTTTTCAGAAAGAAGCAATTTAGCCATCTTTTGGATCCAGCTACTGACATACCTACTCAATGCTAAAGGAACTAGGAAGGGCATTGTCCCTGATCATATGTACCGACTTTCACACTAGAGAGAGCACTCAAGTTTCACCATTCTTAAGCAACAACGTATAACAACATATTAAGTAGAACATGAGCACATACCTGTGGTCAGTCTTATTCATTCCTTGCTAAAAATAAAAAAAGGGCTGGAACTCACATAAGCTAAAGGAAAGATGAAGCAACATGAAGCATCAAACATATCCTTCATTTAATAATCTAATTTTCTATATGTGGGAAGATAATGTTCCTAATTTGATACAGCTGGACTATGTTTATAAACAAGCTAGGATTACGGATCATATTGTAACCCAACATTTTTAGTCAGTTTTTATTAATTAAATACAAATTGGCACCTTATGAGAAGTGGTATTGCTGTGTGAACAATTATTACAACCATTTAACCGGTGAATCATTCAATAAAAAGTGATAGTGACCTTGTGTCCAGTGGAAGCTGCTTTTATGGATATTTTACAATGATGCAAGTATTTAAAAAAAATTGCTATAAGTATTTGATTAATCAGATTATCAAAGTTTTAAGCATATTATTTTAGCCAAAAATTATAACAATATTCTGTCTTCTGGTTCGAGCAATTCATGCACAAACACAAGGTTTTCAGAAGAACCATCACAGGGAAAAAGACCAAAGACAAGTTTCAAAAATGTAACTCTATACTAAATATACCATTCGTTTCTAATAAATTGATCTATTGTTTTTGAATATCCAAATATATACCAGTAATTAAAATGAAAGTCAATTCAATATTGTTAAAAACCTTGATTATGTTTTAAATAGTTTAGAGATTTATACAAAACATGTTTTCAATAAGTATCAATACAAAATTAATAACCTGATCATTACAAGCAGAAGTTACAAATGGAATATATTGTTTTAAAAATTATTTCTACCAGAATTCACCTAACTCTAAACAGGGCTTTATTTGCATGAACTATAGTTCTATATCAAATGCACTAAGCCCATGATGCCGAACCTATGGCACACCATATATGGTTGCCTGCCAGCCATCAGCTCTGGCGCGCATACACATGAAGGCTAGCTGACTTTTCGCCCTTCTGGAGGGCCAGGGGAAGCCGTTTTCACCCTCCCCAGGGTCTAGGAAAGCCTCCGGAAGCTGGGGAAGGTGGAAAACGGTCCCAATGGCCAACCGGAAGTTCATAATTGATCCATTTCCGACTTTCCAAGGGCCTCCAGGGAACGGGGGAGGCCGTTTTTGCCCTCTCCAGGCTTCAGGAAAGCCTCAGAGCCTGGAGAGGGGTTGTACATGCATGCACGGGGGGCTGCGTGTGCATTTGGGCAGGGAATTGAGTGGGTACAAATGGACGGGCAATAGCAGATGTGCAATTTTGGCATGTCGTAAGAAAAAGGTTTGCCATCACTGCACTAAGTCACGGTGCGAAAACCATGTTTTTAAAATAAGCTATAGATCAGTGGTCTCCAACCTTGGCAACTTTAAGACTAGTGGACTTCAACTCCCAGAGTTCCTCAGCCAGCTTTGGCTGAGGAACTCTGGGCGTTGAAGTCCACAGGTCTTAAAGTTGCCAAGGTTGGAGACCACTGCTATAGATAGTTCTAAATCAAACATAGTCCATTCTATTTTATTACAGAATCTAACTAGGATTTTGAAAAAATCTAAGCATAAATTTATCTATACATAAAATTATACTCAATCATCACAACTATTTGACAGAAACAAGGTCTGCATGAGAAATATGCCTTGTTCCATAACAGCAAATTGGCCATATTGTTGGTCTTTACTGTAGAAAACAATATCCTTGAAAACATGAGTCATAATAAGGTTATTTCTAACTGGAAGTTATAAAGACTGCATTTGATACCTGGCAGTTCAGACATAATTCCATTTTTTTTAAAAAAAAAACATTTTAAATACAATTAATTAAAAGGGTTGTTATGCTGTTAAGCAAAGCTGCGGATTTTATCTTTATTTCGTAGAATGAATTTCATAGGTCCAAAGGGCAATCTTACAAGACAGTAATAGTGAATTGGAACTATATTTCTAAATTTGTCTAACTGCCCAGATATGTCTGCCTGCTTAGATAAAATGCCAGAGTAAGCCAATCAAAACTCAGGCATATAGGCCTATTAACAAACAAGCCTAACATAACTTCAAATGTAAAATAAGTATGTATTTTAGATCAAATAAAGGCAATACCAACAGGTCTACTTTAGGTTCTGATTAAGTGAAATGTATACAAACATAAGGCCAATACCCGGCTCTTAGAAAGGAGGCTGTTTTAATCTTCAAACTGCATTTTAATAGGTTCTGCTGATGAATAAAGACTGTTTTAGCTGATTAGGTATTCATATATTCCATATAATACTACAATTACAATTGCAATTGATAAAGCATTCATTCAGAGCAGTAGTTGTAGCTACTTAGCAATTAGGAATTATCTTATTAGAAACCTTTGCACATTACCAAATAAATAATAATAATACAAATTAAAGGCAAATAAGTATAAAGCCACATCAGGAAATAAATGATCTAACTTTAGGTAGCAAATGTCTATTGTAATATTATATCTAAGATGTTATCAGAAAATAATTATAATTTTTATTTATTAAATTTATATGCTACCCTCTTGCTATTAAGCAATTGTGCATTATTTTAATTTGTACAAAATTACATTAAATATGACCCAAAATAAGATAGAGGTATGAAATAGAATAGGATCATATTACAGTAGTACAAGAGACACAAATCACTGACAGAATTTAAAGGAATGTTTCTACATTATTACAATGATATTGTACATTTTACAAGTAATTTATAATTTAGAAGACAAAGAATTGCTCATGAGTTTAATGAATTGAAACATCAGTACCTAAGTATTTTAAAAAAAATATTTTTGTATATTAATCCATGAAAAGTAATCCTATGTTTTACACTGTACAATTTTAATGATTAATCTGACTCTCTGGAATAGTAAAAGAAAATACTGATTAAAAAAAATCAAGCAAACTCAGTGATGAATTAGTAATAAAAACTTAAAAGGAAAATCTTGTATGCCTGTAAGGCAGTTGTATTATGAAAATAAATGATTAATAGGCAACTTTTGTAGGCAATACCAGCTAAAGGACTATTTTTTAATCTACAAGAATTACATTAGTTAAAATCTTTATAAAGGTACATATGATGTCAAAAGTACAGATATCCAATATGACTCTCCACTGGAAGGTATTGTCTAATGAAAAGGAAATTTCTCACACTGTCTCATTCTTACGATCAGCAGCCTTGGGAAAAGTGGTTATGGAATACTAAAAATTTGTGACTGGAAACTTCTAATCAAATGTCTATTAATGTAGAATCACTAGAGTGCTAACCAATGCTTTAAATATATTTAAAATACTAACATTTAAGGAAATAGAGAATTGAAATTGTTACTCAAGGGTCCCAAAATACATGCAAAAAAGTATGACAGACTCATTATAATGCACAGAATTTTTTTAATACTAATATGGATTATATAATTTGTGACTTGTTATAGAGCAAGTCCCACAGTTAAGATAAACTGAGGTTCACCCTATTAATATACAATTTATGAAGGTAAATATTAAACATATTGAAAACCTTGTCCCTGGATACCAACTGTTGGAATTAACTCAGAGCAGCCATCCAAACTCCAAAAACAAAACGTTCACACCACGTTTACCACAAACAAGATGTTCACAAGGCAAACTGTCACCCTTCGATTCACAGGGCAACTATCTAAATACAAATGCAACATTTCCAATGAATTTTCCATAAAAAGTGTGGAAACAATACAGCACAGCAAAAAGCTTTTGGCGAAACGCGACACGCCGGTCTCCCTAATACGGTTTCTTACACGGGATCACCACTTCATTAACTCTTAAAAAAAAAAGAGGAAAAGTACAAACGGTGGCCCCACAGTCCAGAATTGCGCAAAACAGAAGGAATGAGGCCATGACAGGGCAATTTTCGCAGGAACTGCCACGCACACAAGCCCTCCAAAAGCTAACGTCGGTGACCAGATGCGTGGAAGTTTAACAGGAAACCTTCATCCTGGGCGTCAAATTACCTATTTTTTTCTCCCTCGGGAACGGCTTGTTCCGCGTTTGCCGCAACGGAAATCACTCCCCTCGTCTCTCTTTGCCACCCCCGTCGCATCTAAAAAAGGAGTGCCCGGTCTCGCATTGCCACCAGCAATGTTTCCCTTGCCAATGCGACCATCCCACATACCCTGTCATCCTTCCCACGCTTGTCTACGTCGCACACCGGGTACCTGGCAAGCCGTTCTAGTTGTGGCACACCAGGACGATACCATCGCCCACGACGCCATCCAACCAGCATCCTCCTCACAGCCCAGCTTAGCGACCTACAAAAACCTTCCCTGGTATTACTCCTCCTCCCAGGTATCACACAACCCGAAATCAGACCAGGACTCAGCAAGGTATTTATTTAAGGCCAGTGCTTCCCCCCTCCCTCCGCCCGCCAGACACACACACACACACACAGACAAACACAATCCAAAGCGCGCTGAAGATGTTTCCTCCAATGGGAACCAAACGTTTGCAACCAAATCGCCCAAACCAACAACGTAACTACCAACCCGAGCTACTAATATTCAAAAACATTTCATTACTCCTCCCTCCCGAGGTTTCCGCTTCAAGAAATCTATCTTCACCGGCTATGGCCCCCCGCCAACAACCTGTTGGTGTCGATACTGCCCTTAAACTACGAAGAAGTCCCAAAACTGTCAGTTTCCTAAACTGTCGTTTCTCCCACCGTTGGGCTTTTTCTCCTGCGCTCCAGCGAGCTTCCCATCTATTGAAAGCGTGCGCGCACGCACACACACACATACCCGCTTATACACAACGAACTGAATGTCCCAAAGGTGCTTCTTCCCCTCCCT